ACAAGAGAAGTTGCCCCATCCTAGAAATCTTTATGATGTCTGAGTCGATTATAGCAACCCTTACGTCAACCCACCTCACTGCGCTGTTGTTAAGTGTCATCAAGTAACTTCCTACTCATAGTGACCCTGTATAGGGTTTCCGAGGAGTGGCTGGTGAGCTTGAACCACCAACCTTGCGGCTGGCTCAAACCGACCTCGCAATCTAGCGCATTAACCCATAGTATCACACCTGGAAGCTCTCCTTCCTTTTAGCTGACCCTCTACTTTACCAGACATGATGTCCTATTCATCCAGTGTCCTTTCCAATGAAATCTCCAAAGAAAGAAGCAAAATTCTCATCATCCTTGCTTCTGGTTGTCTCTCTCCTAAGACCGGTGTGTCGTTGTTGTTAAATGCCATGAAGTCGGCTCCGATTCATAGCAACCCTGTATGGGGTGTTCCATGAGCAGATGACTTTGAACTTCTGACATCGTGGTTCAAACTGACCTTCGGGTCCAGTATTTATCATGAAGCGCTACACCAGGATTCCATTCTGCTGACAGTCCACAGTTCAAATGCATCCATTCTTCTGTCTTCTTTTCAAAATCTAGTTTTCACATGCATTTGAAGTGACTGAAAAGATCATGGCTTGGGTTATGCACACCTTTGTCATTAAAGTAATATAGTTGCTTTCTGAAACTTGGAAGAGGTCTTTTGCAGCAGATTTTCGCAATGTGCTATGTGGACTGAATTCCTGATAACTGCTTTCCATGGATGTTGACTGTAATGAAAGTACTGACAACTTCCATCTCTTTCTCAGTGATCTTCGCAAATAAATTCTCTTTTACAGGAAGAGCTTTCTGGGACTTCAATGAGTGGAGTCCTGGTGTGGTGCAGCAGAGTAAGTACTGTACTGCTAACTCCCAGGTTGGCGGTTGGAACCCACCATATGTGCAGGATCATGATGATTGGGAACTGACTCGATGGCACTTAACAACAACAATGTAAGTGCCTTATTCTAATATATGATAACCTGGCTATCAGAGAAAGGAAGAGATGGGAGGAAGACAAGAGAACAACAGACTAAATAATAGAAAGGCTTCTATACAAGTTGAGAAGTTATTTCAAGAAGATAGCTTCTTTATTGGAGCCAGATTGTCCAAGTTTGAATCCTAGCTCAAGTCACTTATAAACTACTTATTTCATCTCTTTTGCTTCAGTTTTCTGATCTGAAATGAGGATGATGACCGCATTTATCTTACAGGGTGATGGTGAAGACTGGCTGAGATACATACCACAGAGCTTGGCAAGTTGTAGGCATTTGATAAAGATCAGCTACTATGAATAAGTCTGGAGCTGCAGGTTAATGCGCTGGACTGCAAAGTTGCAGTTCAACCTCACAAACCACTCCTCGGAAATCCTATACAGGGTAGCTATGAGTCAGGACTGATTCGACAGCACTTAACAACAACAATAGCAGCTATGGATAAGGAAGACTGTAGAAGAATTGGAGCATTTGAGTTATAGTGTTAGAGAAGAATACTAAAAGTACCATAGACTGCCAGAAGAACAAATTTGTGTTGGAAGAAGTACAGCTAGAATGTTTCTTAGAAGCCAGGATGGCGAGACAGGCCCCATCTAGTTCTTTTCATTTCAGAGTCATGGAGACTGATGTTCACATGTTCCATTAGTTCACTGGACTAATTGATTTCAAGCATCTTCAAAGTTCATCATTTTTTGGTTCTTCTGTGCATGGAAAGACCAACCGCTGCACCTTAGATGGCCAGCTAATAAGCTTTTAAGGTTCCAGACACTACTCACCAAAGTAGGATGCAGAATATTGCCTTTGTGGACTCTGTTGTGCCAATTGACCAGCGTGTCCCCTGAGAACATTGTCCTGAGTCTTCAGGCTCAGCAACTCACAGCAGCAATACTTTTTGACTTGTCAGCATACACAGTGGAATAGCATTCAGCCATAAAAAGGAATGAAGTACTAATACATGCTGTAGCCTAGATGCAGCCAGTACGCCATGTGAACGAAGAGAAACACGAAAGGCCACATATGTATGTTTCCATGTATATAAAATGTCCAAAGTAGGCAAATCCAGAAAGACAGAAAAGTAGACTGGTGGTAACCAGGGGGTTAGGAGAGAGAGGAAGAGTTTGTGCTCACTGCTAATAGGTATGGGGTTTCTTTTGGGAGCTGTGGAAATATTCTGGAATTCAATAGTGGTGCGAGTTGCACAGCATAGGGGATACACTAAAAACCACTGATTTGAACACTTCATAATTGTGAATTTTATGTGATATACATATCTCACTTAAAAGGAAACAGTTTATCTTAAGAAGCTGTCAGTATGATCATTTATGGAATTCCATTTTGCCCAGGTTTACGTGTATCAGGCAGGTGTAAGACAGTTGTCTAGACCTATTAAGAAGAAATAAGTCATGGGTAGGTAGTGTCTAGAAAACATAGTTGCTTACATTAGACAACCTAAAGCCGACTTGGAATTATAAAATAGAAATTGCACAAGCTGAGATATTCAGCTTGACTTTTCAAAGTTTAAAAGCATGCCTGCCCTGATTTTCCCCCTATTTATAAAACAAATAAATGATCATATCAAAATATCTATGACAAAAAATTGACATCCTAACCACTTTAAGTGTCTAACTCAGTGATATTAACTCATCAGCATTTTGTGCAGCCTCACCACTAACCAATTCCAGAAGTCTTTCACCATCCAACACAGAAACTCAGTAACTCCCCACTCCTTTCTCCACCTAACCCTTGGTATTGGTGGTGTTCCAACTCAGAGCGACCCTGTAGAGGGTTTCTAAGGAGCATCTAGTGAGTTTGAACCACCAACCCTGCAGTTCAAACCGATTGTATGGTCCAGTGCTTATCCTACAGCGCCACACCAGGATTCCTCCTAACCCCTGGTGACCACTAATAAACGTCTGTCTCCACTCATTTGCCTATTCTAGGCAGTTCACATAAGTGGGATCTGAGGGGGCTACAAAAGGTTCATGGGGAAATTCCATTATCATTTCATTCCATTTTTCCAGGAACTTTTGAAGCCCCTGTGTACATGTCCTTTGGTATCTACCCTAATCCATTTAGTAGGAGATTTTTCAAGGTTCATTTGTGTATTATGACGTATTAGAACTTCACTTCTCTTTACGGCTGAATCATAACCCACTGTATGGATGTACTACATTTTGTTTATGCAATTATCTGTAGCTGAGCACTTAGGCTGTTCTCACATTTTGACTTCTGTAAATAATGCTTGCCTGGTGTAAGCTGCTCATTTTTATTTTCCGTGTACTAACGTGTATTCAGGCTTGAAGCAGGTGTTGTTAAGGACCATCAAGTCAGTTCTGATTCATAGCAACCTGTATACAGTTTCTGAGGAGCACCTGGTGGGTTTGAACTACTGACCTTATGGTTAGCAGTCCAGTGCTTATCCTACAGCACCACACCAGGACTCTTATTTTCCATGTGTTAACTTGTGTTCAGGCTTTAAGCATGTGAAGGAATCACATGTCACAATCTGTCCCCTATGTCTAAGGGCATCCTGGTTACTAAGAAATCGGGGACAAGCTATGACTAGTTTACAATTCTGGCAAGGTGTGTCAGTATTATATGTTCTCTATGAACTCTGAGAATTGAAACTACTGAGGAAGGTAAAAAGAAGATGCCCAGTCCTCACTTAGAAACATAGTTGGTTCCAAAGATCAGGTCATTGTTGTTAAGAGCCATTGAATCGCTTCCGACTCACAGAGTAACCCTGTATAGGGTTTTTGAGGAGTGGCTGGCGGATTTGAACTGCAAACCTTGCAGTTAGCAGTTCAGTGCTTATACTACAGTTCTACCCCAGGAACCCCAGAAAGACTAAGCAGTTATGAAAAAATTGGCAGTGAGTGAAAATGAAGGATGTCTATCTACAATATTATATAACTGTCAAATCACAACATGACATAGCTGCCAAATTACACTACACTCTGCCAGACCACTGATTCATGGCCCAGTGAAACCGATACATGACCATACCATCATAGCCAACAGTACCCTTGTCTCCTATCTTGGCATTTGTTAGTGCCACACATACCTTGTTAATGTGCAAATCAGTCGGATGTTTTTATTTACTATTGTCATATATGCCAAATGTCATATAACAAGACAGTCACTCAGTGAGGACTAGATGTACTTCAAGTTTGCAGATTGAAGTAGTACAATTGTGGGTTAGTGTATTTACCACGCTGCATTATAAATACTGGTGTGATGCTGTGGGTTAATGTGCCAGACTGAAAAGTCACTTGAACTGCAAGGTGGGCGGTTCATGCTCACCAGCTGCTCCTCGGAAACCCTATACAGGGTCACTATGGGTCGGAACCAATTCGACAGCACTTAACAACAACATTATAAATCCAAGACCTGCATCTTTTAAATTAGCAGCAGAGGGAGACTCCAGGTGTGTCCGTCATCTGTCTCACCTCCATGCTCCCGGTACAGCAGACACCTTTCAATCCTCACCCTCCTGGGGCCTGTTTCCTAGCTAGTGTTCCCTTCACCTCAGGCCGTGTCCAGGGAGAGCTCTACGCACATTGTCCTGTAAAATCTACTACCACAATGCCCTATCATACTTCAGACACCTGATAATCACATGGAATCCTGGTAACCTGACTGCTTCTGAGGGCGTTCTGATCTGCCCTAGAAAGTGTAAGAGAAGAAATTCCTTCATCTCTTGAGTTATGTGCCAAAGACAAGTAGACACATCCATAGAGAAAACCTCAGAGACACAGTAGGAAAAAGAGACACCAACTACCTCCCTGCCTGGTGGCAATCGGGAAGACTACATGTTGAGCTTACATGACATACAGCTGAAAGGGTGCCTCACAAGTAATTATGACTTCCGAATTAATTAAGGAGTTTTCACAGATTACAAACAACTCATCAGAGAAAAAAATGCAAAAAGAAACAGGAGAAAAGGTCAGGAGAATAAATTACGCTGTAAACCTACCGAAAATCAATATCCAATAGAAGGCTTTTAATGTTAGACTTCTTGTCACCTGATGCTTCCAACCTGATCAGCTCGTGTAACCTAAAATAACCAGTGAAAGCAAATTAATAGGAAATTACACATACCACACAAAAGCAAACAAAAATCAGAAATGCTTTTCTGAGTATTAAGTCAAACTTTTAAGAGAATTAGCACATAAAACTCATGTCTCAACTTAGCAAATATTCTTCAAAATGTAGAAGCTATCTGAAAGAGCAAAGTCAGAAATTTTAAACAATTAAGGCATGGCACCAGCAGGAAGCCTCTGTCACATACTGTTCTCTCACAGGAAGTGTGGGTGACACCAGACTTCATGCTTCCTTTGCATCCTGTCAGCATGATGCCTGGCCCTGCACATACTGAGCAACTACTCCATAGCAGGCTCTCAGCATTTCAGTGCACACAGCCTTCCTCCAGACCATCGCAGTAAAGCCACGTGAATTCTGTGGCTCCTCAGTGCCCACAGAAGTTATGTATAGACTTTACTGTGGTCTATTACATGAGAATGACCAACATGTGACAACGAGACAGGAAGGGAGCGCCTACTGCTGGCAAACTGGCGCCCACAGACTTGCTCCCCACAGCGTTGTCACGCCCCTTCAAAATGCAGAAAACCAGCAAACCACAGTGTCTGTGAAGCTTAATGAAGCCACATGCAGTAAAGCGAGGTGTCCCTGTAGTGTAGTGTAGTGTAGAATTCAGACAAAAACGGGGATACAGCATACCTGGGCGTTCCAACACACAGCACTCTTCTGAATCCAAGGGTAGAAAGGAGGTCTACCAAGAACTGACAGCTCCGATCCGCAAACAAATACTGGGCGTTTGTCTTCTTGTTTTCCAGTGGGTAAAGGAGGCGACTGGGCCTTCTTAGCTGGGTGACAGAAATATCTCCCACAACCTGATGCTCATGATGCTTCTCCCAGTCGTCTGGCAACAGCAGCTGCTGACATCTCTCACAGAACTTTCTTTGAGACAGGGGCAACTCCAGAAACTTCAAGTACCTTCAATTGACCAGAAAACACAAGGGAATATCTTTTATGCTGGGTGTTTGAAAGACGATGCACTTTTGCTATCTAAAGTATTCCAAAAGTACTCTTTCCTAAAAAGGATTGCAGAAAGAAACAAAAGAAAGAAAAATCTGTGGAATACTGCCCAGAATTTATGTCTGGCTGCATACCTACCAAGTGGGAAACGATCAGCAATTTCATAAGAATAGAGATGCTCCAATTTAGTCCTGAATGAAGATCAATACCCATTTAAAATGTGAATATAACATATGGCTCAAACAACTTAGCAGTACTGGTGACTGTTATCGAGTTTGAACTTCCTGACAAATCCATGGATTCTAACTCTGACGTGTTACACAGTCTACTCAGGATAGGAGACATCGTAAAATGAGGAATTAAGATCATTCTTCAAGTTCTTATGGCAGAATTAGTAAGAAAAATTACTTCCTAAAAGAAAAGAAGTCTCTACAAAGCTCTTCTATCTTAGCAGTATGCCATGGGCAGCTGGCAGAAATCACCCCAAAACAAGAAGACAATATTCAAAGCCTTAAACAGACGAGGTGGGCGATCCCCTTTGGTTTCTTTCATATCACTCTAACGTCAGATTCCAAAGTCACCATTTTCATGGCTTTTTTCCTTTCTACTGAAGATGACTGAAGAGAGAATATAATTGTGGTGAGTGTCTTTAAAACGGCTGCTTTTGTATACACACACAGACTCATTCATTGCCACACAGTTGATTCTGACACATAGTGACCACATACAGAGTTTCCAAGGCTGTAAGTCTCCCTGGAGCAGAGAGCTTCATCTTTCTCCTACAGAGCAACTGATAGGTTCGAACTGTGGACCTTGTGATAGGCAGCCCAGTGCTTACTCCACAGCACCACGAGGACTCCTATGCTGATGTTGTTGTTATTGCTAAGTGTCATAGAGTTGGGTCCGATTCACATCGACGCTGTATAGGATTTCCAGGGGCGATTGGTGGGTTTGAAACCCCCAACCTTGCGGTCCAGTGCTTATCCTACTGTGTCACACCAGGATACAGGCTTTGAAATCACAGTAAGACAACATATGGAAAATAAGACTATTGAGGCCAGCAGAGGCCTAGAAAATGAAATGCAAACATGCCAAATAGTACTCTAAATAAGCCTTTTTATAAAGTATTTTATTTTTTATGAAAATAATACGCAGTGAAACCCTTCTGACTCCCATTCCTAGGTGTAGCCATCAGCTCCGTTTCTCACACTGCGCCACACTCTCATTACTCCTGCGCTGTTTCATCTACTTTTGCATATGTGCCCTGCCCCCATACCCTCCTCAGCTACATTTTGAAAGAGCTGTGGACCTTTTGGTCTGATATGAATTTAAAAAAAAAAACAAAACACTTAAGTTTCACAATCTTTACGCATTAAGCTAACCTGTTAACTTAATTTCAAGGTGTCCTGGTGGCGGGCATAGCTTCAATTCCACCACTTGTCTGACCGTCATGCTGCTGTGTTGCTGGAAGCTATGCCAATGATGTTTTAAATACCAGCAGGCTCACCATGGTGGCAGGTTTCAGCAGAGCTTCCAGACTCGCAGACTAGGAAGAAGGTGAGGTGGACTACTTCTGAATGATTAGCCACTGAAACCTAAGGAACAGTAGCAGAACACTAGCAGGGTTAGTGCTAGAAGAGGAAAACACTGTGAACAGCAATGGAACACTGTCAGATACCGTGTCAGAACATGAGTCCCTCAGGTTGGAAGGCATTTCTAATTCTCTGGAAGAGCTGCCTCCTCATAGCAGAGTTGATCATGATGATGCGAAAGGAGTAAAGCTTTTGGAACCTTCATTTCCTGATGGGGAACAACTCAAAATGAGGAGAAACAGCTGCAAAGATCTATTAAAAATCAGGATCATGGAATGTACAAGATATGAATCCATGAAAATGGAAAATGGTCAAAATTGAAACAAAACCCATAAAATTTTATATCCAAGGTGTAAGTGAGATGAAATGCACTGGTAATCCATTTGGAATCTGAAAATCATTGGTTTACTATGCCAGGAATGACAAATACAA